CTATGGAATTTCTGAAAAAATGTTGTTAACCAGTTTTGGAATTTCGATACATACATAATCATTAGGATAAAAATAAAATTAATTCTTAGCCCCGTTTAATAACAAATGACACAGAATCCTCGTATATATAAAAAATTGTGTCATGTTTTCATTTTCACATCAAAATTTGCAAAAAATCATGATTTTTTTCACAAGTTCTTACTTGCTCACATCCTCAAGTGCTTAATAGAGACAAACTTGTTAAAAATATACAAATTTCTACTATTTTTTCTCTTTCCTTTTCTAATACATGAATCGCTATAATTATCGAGTACAGTGTATCGAAACACAACTTCAAGAATCGTTGCAGCCTTAATAATCATGACAATGAAACAATATTATGGTTTACTGCACCTAGTGTAGTCATCCTTTTAACTGTCAACGGGAAATAATTCTGGACACACATGGATTTGAAGGTACAAATTTCCACAGTGAGCTGTGAACACTATTACTGAAGTGCTATACCATAAAATTGTGTTCAGTTATTGAATGTGATTTCTCTCTCTGTTGCTTCAGGATTATGTACATTATCATAAGAACTTTGGTGCTTGTGGGCCGTGGTTACACAGTTTTGTGTCAGATTTGTTTAATGATGTTTGAAGATCTTTGTATATATTTTTGTAAATTATATAAAAAGTATTTAGGCAACTCACTCAGTTGTTAATGTAACTGAATATTTCAATCAAAAATCAAGTTGAATCATATTAGGGGTGAAAGTTGACATCCGGTCTACTCTTAGAAAGCATTAGCCATGGCATGAGAATCTGTCATTTTATGCTTGAACATTACAAAAAAATAAAAATTGCTGTTTCTCACTTTTTTGTGACCAAATTTTGGCTCAAGAGTAGACATATCAATTTCATAATGTCCCTCATTGCACACTTCATGGCATTGTTCATCTTCATGTATCCTAATAAGGTGGAGAATGAACAGGTGTAAAAATCCTATAAATTTGAAATTGGTAAAGTATGATTTTGAATTGATTTAGGCATATATGGAATTAAAGATGGGTTTCCTTATTTTTTTGTGTCAAATTAAGCAAACTATTTGAATGTCCATGTATGTACAGTCTGGATAAACAAAAAAGACTTTTTGACCTTTCTTGATCGGTCACTCCTTAGAATTCTGCTGGTATTTCTCTACTAATTTAGCTTATTTTGAATTAATTATGGACATGTGAGACAAACTGGTATTTTTCCAAGTCATTAGATCACCTCTACTTTCTATTCATATTAGTATTAGCATTTTCATTTTCATAAATAAAAATAAGGGAACCCATCTTTAAACAAAGAAAAAGCTTACAAGCTCAAAAATGAAAATGAAGTGAGTGGAGTTTTATGTCCTACTCTTTGGCACTGAACCTTGTCTTTAAGCTGGTTTTAAGTTAAATTAACAGTAACAGTGAGGTGTTTAAGTCTTGTTTAAAACCGGATTGTTAAAACTCTACTGTATATAGTTGTATATAGTCTACAATAAAATATTATAAACTTCTCTGTGTTATTATTTTATTTCTAATGTACCTAAATGTATTCCATTACGTGTGAAACTATTACTGATACAGGTTTGAGGGACTGAAATTTTAAAAGGTGACCAGTCGTTCTGGAGGGACAATAAACTAAGGCCAATGAAGTGCAAAAAAGTTGGAAGAAAAACTGCATTCAATTATACATTTTTACAATTAAAGATGGGTTTCCTTATTTTTTAGTGTCAAATTAAGCAAACGATTTGATTAATTGATGTTTCATTATGTTCTTATTGCATAAAATTAAGAGTTTTAACCGATCGTAAATGTCTATGCATGTACAGTCTGGATAAACAAAGAGGGACTTTTTGATCTTTCTTGATTGGTCAATCTTTGGAATTCAACTAGTAATTTTCTTCTAATTTAGCTAATTATAAACATTATAGACATGTGAGACACACTGGTATTTTTCCAAGTCATTAGAACACCTCTCCTTTCTATTTATATAAGTATTAGCATTTTCATTTTCATAAATGAAAATAAGGGAACCCATCTTTAACCAGAAGAACTCTATATTCAAAGTTAAAATACGATATGCACGTGCGTTTCAATCATATGACCCCAGTAGGATATAACATCACTCAGTAGGATATTCATACATTTGTAAACAATGAAATGTGTGGAGTGAATACGTGGTATCTTTAGAACAGCAACAATGGCCCTATAGCAAGGGTAAGTTTATTTCATATAATTATATTCCGTTGACAAAATTGAACAGCCTTCTTCATTGCAAAATGTCACAAAATTCCTAACTAGTTTGGCTGTGCACGTTAAAGATTCCTCGACAGTTAGAAATCGAAAAAGAGCAGGCTAATGCCGCTGTCTTCGCTAAATTTCTCTCATTGCACCCTGCATGGCCTTGTCTGTCTTCATTAGCCCACAAGGTGCAAGACGTAAAACTCCATTCATTTCATTTTCATAAACTATTTTATATAGACTCCCCTAAAGGAGCACCCAGTTCACAAACCTTATCGCCGAGTGTCATCGGGTGTGTCGACGGAATCAGCACTGTCTCACCAGTCTCACGCCAAGAAATCATAATCCAGA